CTATTCTATTCTATTCTATTCTATTCTATTCTATTCTATTCTATTCTGTTCTATTCTATTCTATTCTAATGGGAAAATTAAAACTATGCGCATATTCTATCTATGCCTCCCAGCTTTCAAACTTCCCACTGATGTTTGCCAAGAAATTCCTGTGGAAACATCCTGTTACAGAGGATTATGTAAAATTGGTTGGGACTTTCCTTTTTTCTGTCTTTCCCAGAAACATAAATGGATGCAATGCATAGATAAGAGGTTTTCCTCAATAATTCTTGTTATTGGTATACAACATGGCAAAAATTTAGACCATTTCCAATTCTGTGTCCCATAAGGGGAAAGAAGGAAATTGCAAACTTTTTTTCATTTATGTTTTCTGATTTTCCTATCAAGGAAGCAAAACAGCATTTCAATGCTACCCATTTATGCAAAGCATCATCGGGCACAAAGAAATGGGTGGGTTTTGTGACATTGTGTTTGTACTGTTTTGCTTCTTCCTTCCCAATTCCTACTGAGCTGCAGGACTGACGATGGAGAATAAGTAATTGTTATTCTGATCACAAGGAATCACAATGGCACATATATCCTTTCACTATTTTGTCTAATTCATTGGACTTTCCTGTCTCTTTCTTGCCCTAGATACAATGGACCAATGCTCAGATTAAAAACACCTCTCCTTACTGAGAAACTACAGTGTCTATAACCAGAAAAAAGAAAATTAAAGGACTTCCTTAATCCTTTCTTGGTTAGCTTGTCCACTGGCACGATAAGCCATGATTCAGAAGTTTTATAGAATGAGATACGTTTTACAAAAATTTTTAAAAAATCAAATTTAAGAGATGGCAAGAAAGCCTACGGTTTCGGAAGGTGTTTTCATACAAAGGCAAAGATTGAGAAAGCAAGCTCAGTCATTAAAACATGCAGTGCAGCTTCATGCATTTTAGTTTTTTTCCAACATCTCCAAGTTGTTAATTCTTCCAGCAACAATTCCCAATTCTGTACCAAGGCTCAGCTTCACTTATCTGTTTCCCACCATTCCTCAATTTGGGTGGAAAATTGTTTTTTGAAAACTTCAGACAAAGCCAGGACTATATTGTTTTCCCATCAAGAAAGAAATAATAATAATCTCTCTTTTTTTAAAAAAAGTTTCTATAGATAAATGAACTGCCATAGTAGGCTTGTATTGGTTTATTATTTTTTTAAAAAGATAAAAATAGAATCTATTTTCCCCTCTTCTGTAACCAGAGAACCTTTTCAAAACTTTGCATTTTTTTTTAAAAAAAGATGAATGACATAATGATTCTAAAATTACCTGCAATCTAAGATAAAACAAAACCAGGCATGAAGATCAGGTGCTGGGATCCTGAGATTTAGCAAGAGTACTTTTTAAACTTATTATTAAAATAGATTTTAAAAAATTAGCCTTAATTGAAAAAAATCTTTGATTTATGAAAAATAGCGGCATCGGTGAATTTTTTTCCCCCCAGGTTGAAATAAAATGGAACAAAACAGCAATTCTCCTTTGCTACATGGTTGAAATGAGAGATCCTTGGTGCTATCTGAGCTTGGTTGTTTTCTTGCAGATGTTTCATGACCCAACTAGGTAACATCATCAGTGCTAGTCTTGTAAAGTCTTTGGGATAAAGGGAAAAATGAGACAGAGAAGGGAATAAGGAAGAGAGAAACACTATTAGGAGTCAATACTGGCCATCAGCGATGAAATCCAGCCCAAATGAAGCATTTCTATTGATTTTAATGGGAAGGACTTAAGCTTTTCTCACTGGCTTGACAGTTGCTTTATTCTGTGCTATTGGCTTATATTCTTGCATTACAAAGATGATTTTATTAACCAGTCTTTTTTTAATCAGACAGGAAAAATCTGCAAGAGAAGGGGACATTTTCCAAGTTTCTTCATGGGCATGGCACTGGAATTAATATAGACCACATAGACCAATCTAAATATTCAAATGTATGTCCTGGAAGCTCACCTAGCCATATATTTTCAGAAGACAGGACTCTGCTGGTTCCTTTATCCATGACTTAAAATTCACAGCACAGCAACAGATGTTTACATCTGTTTTGGTTTCAAACCAGAGCCAGCGGTTTTGAAGTATTATGGACTCCAGTAACACAGTCTGGGCTGTTAAAGTAGTATTTTCCTCAGCGTTTTGAACCGGGGCAATGATAATCTGTCAATCTGTGGAGGGGATGTTAGGTCTGGGTGAGATTAAGAAGAGAATTCCAAGAAACGGGACAGGGAAGATCAAAATTTCATCTCAAAATTATTGTCCCAAAGGTGCTTTTTTTTTTTTCCCCAAGAGTCAGCTGGGCTTTCTGTGTTTTTCTTTGAAGAGGTTTCACTTCTCATCCAAGAAGCTTCTTCAGTTCGGGGTGAATGGTGGAGGATGGAAGAACTGAAGAAGCTTCTCGGATGAGAAGTGAAACCTCTTCAAGGAAAAACACAGAAAGTCCAATTGCTTCTTGAAAAAAAAGCACCTTTGGGACCACCAGGATCTGGATGAGTGAGAATCTCCATTGACATCTGACAAAATTATTATTATTTTTTCCCTGGCTCAAGGAATGGTTGGAGAGAATTCAAACCGGTGGTTGGGCGTCAAATTCTTCTCCTTCTTTGTGGTTCCCATTTTAGCTAAATCAAGATGTCATAAAAAGGATTTCCTTTCTTTCCTCATTTTAAATCCCAGTCCTATTCTTTGATAGGAAGCTGTGCAGAAAGATTCTAGTAAAATCCACCTTTATTCTGAGGGCCGCACACCAGCAATTTGTTTTCAGATTTGCAAAGCAGTATAGTTGCATCTTAAGTAAACCACAATGGAAAAATTGGATGTACTTTTGCACCTGCTGGGAAGGAAGGTCACATTTCAATGCAAAGGTGGATTTTAATATCACAACTGCCCAACATTTCTGGAAGAAACAGACTTAGGAATCACTCCACAGCTTACTGCAAATAATTGCTGGGTCAGTACTGAAAAAAAAAACCTTTTCTAATTGCAATATTCATGGGGACAAAAATGATATTTTGTCTGGGTGAAGGTTGTCCAGCTCCTTTGCTTAGGAAACTCGATTTAAAAACAAATGATTCCATATTTTAGTAGAAAGAATCACACTGAAGTCGTTTACAGTACATTGATTTCCTGATATGTCTATTCTGATGTGTTTATGAACTCCCCTAGCTCCACACGGTTTCATTCTTTGCTTTTTCTACAGTCATTTTATACTTCCATATCCCTTTTTATGCTATATGGAATATGCTGGTCTTTGGCCATAATAAAGTTTTTATAGGGTTTTCCCTCCTCCCTCCTCAATTCAATTGAAAAGGGGGAAAAAAACCCACACAAGGTAATTTTGAAAGCCCCATTTTAGAGCCCGTGAAGATGAGTCTGGTGCGAATACAAACAGAATAAAACATTACTTCTGTGATTAACACAGAAACTTATCCTTAAATTCAGTCTATGAAACCTTCCCCTTCCATGAGACTGGAAGGAAACAAGAGCCTGTTCCCATATTCTTGACAAAATAGGATGCAAAAACAGTTCGTTTTCGACGTCATCGCAAGACCCAGACAAGTCTGCAGTCCAGAGTTAGGGAGTTTAAGAAAAATAGGTACATATATGTACATATAAAACACACCGCAAAAGCCTTCCTGATTTGAAAGATTAATGCAACCTTCTTTGTATTCTGGGGGGGAAAAAAACCAAGAGGAAAAAAAAAAAACCCAACAAAGCTGAAAATACAAGAAATACAATGGAAAAAAAAATGTCTAAATAATCCAGTTGAACTATTTTGTTAATGATAAACCAAAGCAGGTTAACACTGAGAGCTGAGTTAAATCATTGAGGTCCAACATAAGTCAGAACATTTTGGATTCCTGGATCCAGAACCAGGTGGTGTTCTCCTCTCCATCCTCCTGAAGTCACTTCCGTTTGCGACGAACGCAACTTTTCAGTATCACAGTATAAAATATGGCCATTTATTTTGTGTGTGTGTGTTGTTTAAATCCTTCTATTCTTGTAATGCTTCGATGTGTTTACAATGCAGGATGAAATCACCTGGGAGAAAGTTCCCTTCCCTGCCTGTTTGGGCACTGAGATGGGGTCCTTCCTCCCATCTCTGACATCTTCCTTGTTGGGTGTGGGGATTGCGAGATGACCTGGATCACTTGGTCGTTGTGTGTATTGTGGTTGTGGTTATCGTGGTCTGTCGGGGCCTCCTCTCTCCTCCAGAAGAAATACTGGGTGAAGCTGAAGAAGCTAAACTACAGTGAGTAGATGAGGAAATACCTGAAGGAGGAGGGAGAAAAAGAAGCAACATCACCAATCAACATCCATGCAATCGATGGATACAATTCTCAGAAGACTGTTCTGACCCAAACCCTTTTCCAATAAGACAAACACGAAGCAAAGGGAACAGAAAGCTTTTAATGCGTCTTACGAATCCCCAGTTAAAAGGCTGCTGCAAACTAATTAACTTTGATAAGCAAACCTTGCCAAAACCACACGAGACTGCCAAAAATCACAGATAAGAAATATTTCACAACACAAGAGTCTTCAAATATCAACTTAAAATACTGTAATATCCACGAGGCTGAGTTTCAAAATGTCTTTGCTTCCTGCAAAGAATGTTCGCTTCACAACTGGCTTTTATCTTCTTGAAGGAGGGGCCATTACCTTGCAGCCTTACTCCTGAGTCGCCCGTGCTGCTGCAGATGCTCTTTGCTGTGAGCAATCCTGTGTGCATGCGCACTTGGCACAGGCTCCTCGGGAACCTCCTCATCGCTGCTGCCAGCCCCACAATTTCTGAAGGCAGCAGTCCACTCCCTAATGGTCCTGGCCCCTCATCTGAGTCCTCAGTCTCCTCAGCCATCCGCACCTGCTGCAGCTAACCACAACAAAGATATAAGTTGGGGAGTGTGGGAAGCTCCCCTCTCCCTTGAGAATGAGATACATTTTGGGGAATATTAAAAGAAGGAGTCTATAGAGATTCTCAGTCATCCAGGTCATCGTTGTCCCAAAGGTGCTTTTTTCAGGACTTTCTTGTTTTTTCTTTGAAGACATTTCACTTCTCATTCAAGAAGCTTCTTCACTTCTCATCCAAGAAGCTTCTTTGCTTCTCATCTCCACCATCCAGTCAGAGCTGAAGAAGCTTCTTGGATGAGAAGCGAAATGCCTTCAAAGAAAAAAAGAGGAAGGCCTGAAAAAAGCACCTTCGGGAGAATATTGTATTTCCCCTAAAGTTAAAGAGGAGAAATGTGTTCTTAAAGTCAGGAAGCAGCCTCAGTCTTCTTGCTATAGGAAAGCAGCCTCAAGCAGAAGCCTGATGTCTTTAGAAATGGATATTTTGTACCCATTAAGAAAGCCAGGCCATCCTATTCATAAACCAAACGCCTTCAGCCACAGCTCCCCCAGAAGGCTGGAGCTGATAGGATTAAAGAGTAGAAAAACAAAGACTCCTAAAATCTACATTCCCCCACCCAGCTCCAAGGGACCTCCCAGCCACAAAGGGAGTCAGGCAACAATAATTAGAATATGGAAAGGGCACACTCAGCATATTTCACAACAAACAAGCATCTCACCTCCATTTTGTCAGCTGCCCCCCCCCCCCCCGCCCCCCAAAACATGTAGCTGGAACTGAAGTTTCTGGCTGCTAAATAGAAAGAAACCTCCTTTCCTGCAGCCTGCCTCCATTTTATTTCCAGCGTCTTTCTCCCAGATTGGAACTGGACTGGATTTTTCTTCCAACAGAAGGAAAGATCTAACATTTAACCCCTCTTCCCACAGGGAAAGAAATTTAGAACAGACTGAAAGAAAAGATTTCTTTACCAATCAAATCTTTATTAGTCAGAGATTGGCAGCCTTAATGAGTATTTAACTTGTAAGTTAAGAATGTTTTGTATTGTGGTAGATTTAGTTAGCCGTATATTAACTTTTCAATGTTTTTTGTATTTATTTAATGTTTTTCACCTTTTGAAAGCTTTTTAAAAGAATCTTGTGCTATCTATCTATCTATCTATCTATCTATCTATCTATCTACCTATCTATCATCTATCTATTATCTATCATCTATCTATCATCTATCTCATCTATCTATGATCGATCAATTGATTTCTATTATCTATATATCATCTATCTATCATCTATCTATCTATCTATCTATCTATCTATCTATCTACCTACCTACCTACCTACCTCTATCTATCTATCTACCTATCTGATCTATCATCTATCTATCATCTATCTATCTATCTATCTATCTATCTATCTACCTACCTACCTACCTACCTACCTACCTACCTACCTACCTCTATCTATCTACCTATCTGATCTATCATCTATCTATCATCTATCTATCTATCTATCTATCTATCTATCTATCTATCTATCTATCATCTACCTATCTAGTTATCTATCTCTCTCAAATATTTTTAATTTTGTGTATTTTATCTTTTTTTTATCTTTTAAAAAATTCTACCTTCTTATGCTGATCTGGGGCCATAATAAATAAATCCAATAAATTCAAAAAAGATTCACTCTAATGATCTTTTTTGCAAGCCCGTATTATTCCCATTTGAACCACATATCCCTGATCAGAATAGTGATGATGGAGCCCAGACTCCTCCCCTGAAGATGTATTTAGATACTGAATTCCAAAATGGGAATAAATCTTCAGGTATTCGTGACATGAATTCCCCAAGGGGCTGCTTTGTTGACCATCTCTAAAACACCATTCTCTCCCTCTAGAGAGGAAACGACATTTGGTGATAAGAGACAATTGGATTCTATTGATAAAAATGTCAGGGATGTGATTCAAGCCAGCCACTTGGGAGTCAGGCTGAACTTTGGTGAACAACTTGATTTGGCTGTGAGACCAAAACCTGAGCTCCAGGAAATTCAGATCACCAGGCTCCAAATATAATATTGTTTTCAGAGGAAGACAAGCCATCTCCAGGGCTGCATTATTATGGAGGCAAAAATATCTAAAGAATGGTTGCTGGAATTGGAGATGTCTAGTTTAATGAAGAGAAGGAGGACATGATAGCAGTCTTCCAATATCTCAGGGGCTGCCCCAGAGAAGAGGGAGTCAAGCAATTCTCCAAAGCACCACAAGGACAGCACAAGAAGCAATGGATGGAAACTCATCAAGGAGAGAAGCAAGCTAGAACTAAGAAGAAACTTCCTGACAGAACAATTAATCAGTGGAATGACTTGCCTCTAGAAGTTGTGAATGCCCCAAACCTGGAAGTTGTTATTATTATTGTTCTCACTGTCAGGACATTTCCCCTTAGTTCCAGGTTGCTTCTCTCTTTGATTAATTTCCATCTGTTGCTTCTTGTCCTGCCTTCAGGTACTTTGGAGAATAGGTTGATTCCCTTCTTATTGGGGGCAGCCCCTCAAGTATTGGGACACTGCTATCATATCATCCCTAATCCTTCTTTTCTCTAGACTAGACATACCCTGTTCCAGCAACCGTTCTTCATACATTCTTCATACATGAGTTCTTCATACATTCCAGCCTCCAGGCCAGTGGTGGGATTCAAATCTTTTTATTACTGGTTCTGTGGGTGTGGCTAGGTGGGTGTGGCCATGTTATTGGGTGGGCATGACTTTTTTTGCAGCAACACTCCCACCCCATTTTGGGGGGGCCTTCCTGGCCTCAGGGGATCCTCTGGGGTGTGTTTTTGCTCCCAGGAAGCTTCCCTGGGGCCCAGGAAGGCAAAAAAATGGATGGGACTGCTTCCTGGGCCTCAGGAAAGTCTCCTGGGTGAAGCAGTAAGAAGTGAGGGGAATCTAGGCACAGTTGATTGTTGTGAGGTTAAAAAAAAAGAAAGAAATACCTTAAGGAGTGACTGGGTGAGCGAGCATCAGATGGACGGGGTGAGCAAGCATTGGGCATCAGGCAGGTGGGGCAAGTGAGCGACCAGTGACCGGGCAGCTGGGTTGGGGACATGGCCAGCCAGAAGGTACTACCGGTATAGAAACCCATGCCAAATCCTTGCTACCAGTTCGTGTGAACCGGTGTGAACCGGCTGAATATCACCACTGTTCCAAGCCCCTAATAATCTTTGTTGCTCTTCTCTTCACTCTACATAGAGTCTCAACATCCTTTTTATATCATGCTGAAGATAGTTAACGTTGTGCAGAAGATGGCCAATATTATAGGTAGCAGGAGGTGATCAATATCAGATTAAATAATTGATGATCAATATTGCATTAAATAAACCTTGACCCAAGCCCCTGGTTTAATGACTACACTTGCTCCACGCCATGTACTTACACTCTTTTCTGGATGCACCATCTGGGAGCGGGTTGGCCAGACTAACATTGTTAGATACACTAATGTTGGAGCCACTATCCAAACTGCTGCCAAGATGTAACCGCCGCATGTGCCTCACCACGGCGGTGGCATTAAAAGCTTGCTGGAAAAGAAGAGACAAAAGTGACTTTCAGGAATTTTGGAGAAAGAGAAGGAACATGGCTGTCAGGGTTCCGACTGATGCCCTAATTAATTCATGAGTCTCGAGCCAAGTTTGAAAAGAAATCCAATTATTTATTAGGAGCAACATGTCGGCACTACTTTTCCCAGGTGCAGTTGGCTCTGCCCTACATAATTTTCTGCCCACGCAGGCTGTGGAAAACATGCCTCTCCGGCTGGGCTTGGTAACTTCAGACACAATCTAGAGAAAGATATGCATGGAATGTGCTTCTGGTCATTTCAACCAAACTGCTCCATCAGATCTCCCCCTCTCCTTAGGGCAACTCGAGACCAAACCAATAATGCTTTACAAGTTGACAAGGGCGCTACTACAGCTTTAGAATATCTACTCTCCCAGCATATCGGGTCTCTGAAGATACAGTCCCGTTGAGAAATGACAAATACTGTGGTTGAATACTGGCAGTCTTTGATTTCCAACCATTTGTTTAGGGACTGTTCAAAGTTACAAAGGCATGGAAAAAAAATGAGTGAAGGCCATTCCTCACATTTATGGTCATTGCCGCATCCCTACTGTCATGTGATCATAACTCAGGCACAAATACTCTGAATGTATTCTCAACGAGGAAAATATTAGAATGTGTGGGAATGAATGGCTTAACACTTGCAATTAAAGAGAAGGAACAAACTGAATATTATATGACATTGGAATCATTTTATCAATGGTAAGATAAGAAATATGAAAGTTAGAAACAGAAGACTAGAGAAATAAGATCGTATGCTAATAGAAGTCAACAAAATGAGGATTGTTATAATGATTAGATATATGATGTATATCAGTAATAAGCTAAGAGTAGAGAATCAATACTAATGTAAATGAGTATGGCTGGAAACTTTGGTTATTGTTGCACAAGATATTTGTACCCAGATGACACACCATTTAAATGGAAGGAGGATAGTTTGTTTCAAATTAAAAAAAATGTAATTAAAAATGTATCTGCAATGGTCATAGCATCCTGAGGTCACATGAATGCCATTGGCCACCTTCTGTCATGCCCCTGTCAAAATCTGATTTAGAGGGAGAGGCCGAGCAGCTGACAGGGAGCGGGAGTGGGAGTGTGGCTCCGTTGGCTGTGGAGGAAACTGGGGAAGGGCAAAGTCTGGCTGGGCAGAGCAGAGGAGAGGTAGAGCAAGGGAGAGGGAATTCAGAGGAAGACCCAGGGCCACCTGCTCTTCATCCTAGGGCATGCTGGGAGGAACGGAGACGAGAGCAACGTGAGTTGTGTGGCTTATGGGGGAGGAAAGGACCCTGATTCCCTTCATTAGCTGCAGCTGGGAACACAGTGTATAAAAAAGGCAAGCTACGTGCAGCAGGCTGTTGGGAGCAAATGTGACTTTATCTTGTATCGTCGTGGCTTATCTGTGTTCTTATCAGTCAATCAGTCAGTCAGTAGGTCTTCTACAACAATGTAAACCACCTGAGGACTTACTCTCCATTTGCTTTTTGCAAAATTCTTGCGAATCTGAGCGCTGACAGACTCGTGGATATTTTTGTTGAGGGCTGTGTCACCGGCGATCCTGAAAAATAAAATAAAGACATTTGATGAAGTCCTTGTTTTTGAGAGTTTACAACTGTAGGAACATTCCTTGTCATTCTTACTGAAACAAGAATGAAATCCAACTCCACATTTTTATCAACAGGTTCAGTAAAAAGATAGCTGCCCTGATAGTTAGCAAGGAAACTCCGAATGAAATGCAGTAGTGCATTTTATTCTTGGGTGAAAACAAATTCCATAGTTTTCCATAAGATGAGCCTCAGGAAAGCTCTCTGAAGACCTCTGCCAACCAGCAGGATTAAATTTAGTGAAGGACCAAACTGATGTAGCTTATCACTTGACTCTCAAAATTGTCTCATCTTTGCCTTGATGTGGCATTCACCCAGTTGGAAGTTCTTCTGGGTATCAGACTAGTCCAGGGGTTCTCCCACCTTAGCAACTTTAAGACTTGTGGACTTCAACTCCCAGATTCTTTAGTCAGCAAAGCTTCTGAGAGTTGAAGTCCACAAGTCTTAAAGTTGCTAAGGTGGGAGAACCCCTGGACTAGGTCATGGTTGATCTGGAAGGAGACCCTTGAACAGAAATCCTGATTCTGGACAGGGGCTACATGCTCAAGTTTTCTACCTATTAAGATCATGAACTGACTGAGATATAGACCATTTCTTTCATCTCTCTTCTCAAGTTGCCTTGTTATCTGCTGTTGAAACAATTCTCTGAGGACTTTTGAGATGAGAGGTGCTGGAAGGGGGGACTTCAGAGAGCCTTCACTGCATCATAGATGACAAGGAGTATCAATCCTTCCATTCCCCACCATCCAGTCACAAATAAACTTCCAAGTGGCCTCAACGTCTCTCTAAAAGGATGCAAATGACCAGCAGTCTGCAAGGAGTATCAATCCTTCCATTCCCCACCATCCTGTGAGAGTTGAAGAAGCTTTTTGGATGAGAAGTGAAATGTTCTCAAAGAAAAACCAGAAAGTCCAGTTGCCTCTTGAAGAAAACACCAGGACCTGGATGACTGAGAATCTCCATGGACAAGAGCAAAGTTGATTTCTTCAGGGACTATCAGGCACAAAGAATGAGGATATGTTAAATTGCAGTTCAGACCATGTATTGCTCAAGTCTACACACAAGAATCCAGTCAACTAAAGTTCAATGCTAAATTGGCGCCAGGTAAGGTAAGTCAACTGAATTCAAGAGGAGTTGGATTTAGACCATTTGTGGCAATGTAATGGCTGATGATTTGTTTAACTCCCTCCCAGCTCTGCCTGCTCTTCTCCTACAGAACCATGCTTTCAGATTCCCAAACCAGTTTACAACTCCATGGCTTCCTGGCGGCTAATAATCTCCCATTCAAATATTCCACAGGGCTGATTATACTTAGCTTTCTAGGTGAGCCAATGTGGCTTAGATCTTGCCAAGGAAAACATCTGGCCCAGAAGAGATATCTAAGCTTGGATTTTATTGTGGAAGGGTCAGTGGAAAGTCTTGGCACATCTTCAGTCAGCCACTTGCTGAACATCAGGACGTTTTCTTTCCTTCCATAAACAAAAGGACCCAAGCTCTCTTTTTTAACAGCTTCCTGTCAAAATTGGTCAGGTCAAACTTTTCTGGTCTTGCTTGGTAAATGAGAGGGAAGATCTCCATAGTCCTCAACCAGCAGAAGTTCAAAGTTGGCCTTCTCCCTTCAAAGTATCTTCTGGGCTTGACCAGTTGACTTATTCTTCGTTCTTCTGCTTCCTTATTTGTGTTGGTGGGACATCCTCAAAACCAGAGTACTGTATGTGGTTTAGATTTTTATCAAGAGAAGTAAGGAACATTTGCAGCCAGTGAGGAAGGATACATGGAATCTGGCCAATAAAACACAGACCAGAGAAGGTAGGCTACACTTAAGATTTTGTCCCTCATGGCAAAGATTTAAGATACTCAAAGCAACTCGTTAAATGTTCTGTGGTGTAATTTAAATCAATGAGCCCTCACTGCTTAATGGAATGGAAACTCTAGAGCAAACTTTAAAGGAGCATCCAGGAAAAATAGCAGAAATAGCAAGTACTACTGGGTGTAGTTCCCAGTCAGCTAGCCCCAGCATTGCATATTAAAATAATCAGATGTTTGCTTCACATCATCCAATAATTCTGGATTAAATCTAAAGAAGGGGTTTCCCTCTATGCTGAATCTTAAATGTTCTCCAAAAAACTAACAAGGGAGCCTGATGTCTATGGAGATTCTCAGTCATCCTCCACCATTCAGTCAGAACTGAAGAAGCTTCTTGGATGAGAAGCGAAAACTCTTCAAGGAAAAAACAAAGGAAGTCTGGTTGCCTGTTGAAAAAGCATCTTTGGGGCAACAGATCTTGATGCTCATTGAAAGGAGCTGAGATTATTATTATTTTTTTCTCCATTGTCATTCCCCCCCACCCCATAGCTTTGTTTTTCTTAGAGGTTATCAACCTGCTTCCCTGGTCTTTCTAAACTTACAGGAGTTGAGTTGGATTTATTTTAACTACAGGGGTCCAGGGGTGGGATTCAAAAATTTCAGGAACTGGTTCTCTGCCTGGTTGCTGGGTGGGCGTGGCCATGGTGGGCGTGGCTTTCTGGAACTTCCAGGAGGCCTATTTTTCGCCCTCCCTGGGCTCCAGAGGCTTTTCTTGAGCCTCCGGGAAGGCAAAAACAACCTCCCCCGGGCCCTGGGTGCCCTCTAGACGCCGGAAACAGGCCCATTTCCAGACTTCCAGAACTTCAGAGAGGCCCATTTTTCACCCTTCCTGGGCTCCGGAGGCCTTCCGGAAGCCAGAAACAGGCCCGTTTCTGAAGTACTGGAACTTCTAGGAGGCCCATTTTTTGCCCTCCCCAGGTCCCGAGGCTTTCCTCGAGCCTCCGGAAGGAACAGCCTCCCCTGGGCTCCAGATTTACTCTGGGGGAGACAAACGGGCTCATTTCTGGACTTCTGGAACTTCTGGGAAGCCCATTTTTTGCCCTTCCAGAGCCTCCACACTTACCTGCATCCAAAACGGGTCACATGGAGACTCCAGGAAGGGGTGGGGTGGGGTAGGTAGACCCAGCTGGTCCTTGCAACTACTGGTTCAGCGAGCCCGATGTAAAATTAGAATCCGGCTTGTCTGAACCGGTCTGAACTGGCTGAATCCTACCCCTAATGTTAATTCAGTGGGGAAAGAATACCTGAATGTTTTTTTCCATTACAAAAAGAGAGAGAGAGAGAGAGAGAGAGAAGAAGAAGAAGAGTGAACACAAAAGGAATTGAGAGTCACGATGAGGGTGGCAGATTGCTGTTTCCCTTGGAAGCACATCACAAATTTTCCTTTACGGTGAAGCGGAAGAGCATTCAATTTTTCGGTCCTTCAATTTTCCATTAAAAATCTCCTCTCTGTTTGCCCAGACTGAACCTCAGATCTATGTGTGCTGTCCATCTGCCATCAGGGTTGCCTGGAGCTTTAAATCCAAGTTTGTTTTGGGCTTTGATATTATAATTAAATTTTCAGCGCCTTCTTTTTCGTCTCCAGTATTTTGTCTTTGTGCTGCGATCTTTCCCCAGGGACAAATGAGACTGGAATTTATGAACACGACAACTGACGGGGAATAAAAAAAAAAACCCAGCTTACCATGGGTGACGGGCAGCCTGTTCGCAGGTATATCTTTTATTGGGATCTTTCTCCATCAGGTTCCGAATAAAATCTTTCGCTGGGAGAAAGGAAAACAGCAGAAAGAAAAATGGCATTTGGTACTCAAAGGAACAAAACGGCCCAGCGGTATTGATAAAGGCATCGTGAGGCAGCCCAAGCCTCCTTTATAGAGGGAATTACTTTCATAATCGATTCAACGCATTGATTATGTAATAAAGCTTGGCTCAAACCCCAGCTCTCTCTCATGATTCCTACAGCTGTATTTTACTTGCACAATTGCTATTCACGGGTTTCTCAAACCAGAAGATTTATCTGGGTTTATTAACTGGAGACTGAGAATTGATTCACGTAATAATATAACAGAATAACAGAGTTGGAAGGGACCTTGGAGGTCTTCTAGTCCAACCCCCTGCTCAGGTAGGAGAAGCTATACCACTTCAGACAAATGGTTGTCTAATCTCTTCTTAAAGACCTCCAATGATGAAGCACCCACAACTTCCAGAAGCAAGCAGTTCCACTGGTTAATTGTTCTCACTGTCAGGAAATTTCTCCTTAGTTCCAGGTTGCTTCTCTCCTTGATTAGTTTCCATCCATTGTTTCTTGTCCTGCCCTCTGGTGCTCTGGAGAATAACTTGACCCCCTCTTCTTCTTTAGGGCAGCCCCTCAAATATTGGAACGTTGCTATCATGTCCCCCCTAGTCCTTTTTTCATTTCATTCATAAACTAGACCCATGGTGCATTCAGCCGGTTCGCACCAGATCGAGCGAACCGGTAGCAAGAATTTGGCGTGGGTCGCGGGCTGGCCACGCCCCCGACCCGGTTGCCCTCCCGCCTGATGCTCGCTCACCCCACCCATCTGACATTCACCTAAGGGATTTCTTTTTTTTTTTCCCCTACCGACAATCAGCTGTAGATAAGATCAGCTGTGCTGGGATTCCCCTTGCTGAGGCCCAGGAAGGCAAAAAAATGGAGGGAGGAGTTCAGGCCTCCCGCTCCATTTTTGCCTTCCAGACCCCCAGAGGAGTCTTAGGGGAGCAAATACGCCCCCCCCAGAGGTTTTTCTGAGGCTAGGAAGCTCCCAAAATGGGTGGGTGGGGGTGCAAAAAAAAGCAAAAAATAAAAGCCACACCCACCCAGTCACATGACCACACCCACCAAGCCACACCCACAGAACCGGTAGTCAAAAAATTTGAATCCCACCACTTAACTAGACACACACAATTCTTTATATGTTTTAGCCTCCAGTCCCATAAACATCTTGGTTACTCTTCTCTGCACTCTTTCTAGTGTCTTTTCTTTACATTTGTGGCGATCAAAACTGGATGTAGAATTTCAAGTGTGGTCTTACCAAGGCCTTATAAAGCACCTCATGTGATCTTGATTTGATCCCTCTATTAATGGAGCCTAGAACCGTATTGGCTTTTTTGGCAGCTGCAGCTGCACCATATTAGAAAAAAATTTTTTAAAAAAAGGAGAGGTGGAAAAGTAGGGAATAGTGACTGTTCCACAGGAGGAATTGAGTTGTACACTGAGCCAAGGTTTCCCATTTTAAAGTGTGTGGACTCCACCCCCCAGAATTCCCCAGCCAGCATATGTGTAATATCATATCACACCCACGCACACCCACAGCAGCTCTGAATAGGGAAACTATTCAGAAAAACTACAAGGGAAAATGCAAGCTAAAATTGTTGGTATCAAGGAATGATCCCGACTTGTTTCTTACCAGATTCAGAGATATCGTCCCAATAGGGAGAGTCAAATTCATATTCTGCTTTCAGAATTTGCTCAAACAGCTTGGAGTCATTTTCGTCATAGAATGGAGGGTAGCCACAGAGCCTGAAACCCAAAAATTAAAAATTATTTTTTAACAAATTAAAAATGCGCTAAGTCACGGGGATACTGGAGGAAGCAAGGTGGAAATCATTTCAAAATTTGAGAATTGATATGATTCTGTTCCTTAGAATCCAAGAAGTGGGATTCAGCCAGTTCTGACCAGTTCTGGAGAACCGGTAGCAGAAATTTTGAGTAGTTCAGAAAACCGGCAAATACTACCTCTGACTGGCCCTGCTCCCATGTATTCTCCACCTCCCATTGAGTCCCAGCTGATTGGCTGGGTCTCCTTTGGTTGCCCTGCACAGGAGAACGGAGCTGGAAAGCAGGTTAGTGGGTTGGGGAGGCAATGGGGATTTTGCAGTATCCTTTCCCTGCCACGCCCACCAAGCCACGCCCACAGAACCGGTAGTAAAAAAATTTGAATCCCACCACTGATCCAAGAGATCTCTTATGAGCATATCTGGTTCTGATAAACCTACAAAGATTTTTGTTTTGAGCTTTTCAAGCATCCAAAGAGACACCCAGATACGGTGTATTCCTCCAACGTGTTAGTGACTCTTTTTTTTTTTAAGATTAGGAAGAGATTAGAAATGTAAGAAATATCTTGTTTGATGTCTATGGAGATTCTCAGCCATTCAGGTCTTAGTTGTCCCAAAGGTGCTTTTCCCCCAAAAAGGCAACTGGACTTCCTTGGTTTCTCTTTGAAGATGTTTTGCTTCTCACCCAAGAAGCTTCTTCATTTCATCCTCCACCATTCTGTCAGAACCGAAGAAGCTTCTTGGATGAGAAGCGAAAGATCTTCAAGGAAAACCAAAGCGTGGTTGTCTTTTGAAAAAGCAGATGTGGAGAGACCCAGCTCATAGAATTGTCAAGAGTTGGACACTATAGAATGGATAACATTGTCATCCTTATTGGATCTTCCATTTCATATTTCCATAGCTTGGTGCTAAACTAAATTTCTATTCAATGTGGTCTCACTCATGACCTGTTCCAACCTGGATGCTCCCAATAAAAGTGTCAGGTTCCAAGTAATGCAATCATCATAAAACAAACTCAGAGGCATTGTAATTCCTCAAAGAACTATTTTATTTAATCACACATCTTGGCACTAACTGGTGGAAGCCAGTACTTGAAAGTTTCCCGGGCTTCCATGTCATTATAACTAAAAGGTTCTCATTTTTCCAAAACAATAAGTCACATTGTCCAACCAGGATATAAAATAGTTTCCTGGAAACTTTGCTCCTCTTTTCTCTGGCCAAGCAGCAATTGGAATGCAGCCAACTCATCACTCAGCTATGTTGTTTTGGCTAGAGCTTCCTCCACCTCAGGTCTCCCTCCCTTCCAGTCCTCAAGTGTGTCAAAGTGAATTCATAGATTCCATCACCAAATTAAATTCAGGCTTGATAAAAAGTTCATTCCAGAGTAGATTTGTGTGATACCACTTACAGTATATAGGCAATCACTCCAATGGACCAGCAGTCTACCGCTTTGCTGTAGGGTTTCTGGGCAAGGACTTCGGGAGCTGCAGGAAGGAAAGAGGAAGGGAGAAAAATCAATCAACGAGAGAACATTCAATGAAACTGGCCAACATCCAACCAAGAACTCAAGGCGTGCTCACTGCAGCATGCCCTCCACTCTGTCCAATTGCCAACCTGCAAGAAATGGAGAGAATGGACAAACTCTTTCTTTCCTTTCCATATCTGTGCACATGGAATTCTGGCTGCAAGCAACTGATACAACAACAACAACGAAGTTCCAAATCTTTTTTTTCCAACTCATGATCTAGTCATTGTAAAAGAAAAAGAAAAAATCAGGTTTCAATTTTATGTTAGTTTTAAGAATCTTTTGCTTTATACAATGAATCTGAGCCCAATTCTCTCTCTTCCCTTTCCTTTCACACTTCCCTTCCTTCTTCCTTCCTTCCTTCCTTCCTTCCTTCCTTCCTTCCTTCCTTCCTTCCTCTCCCTTCAATTCCCTTCCCTTTTTCTTTCCTTCCTTCTCTTCCTCTTCCCGTTCCAGATATGGGGTTCTTTTGAAACCAAAGAAGGAATAAAATATAATCAGGGTCCACAAAAAAGGGGCAAGAATGATGTGGAAGATGGAAGCTAATAAGACCACTGCATCTAAAATGAGCAGGAGTTAAGAGTTGACTATTTGATAAGCGGGGAAGGAATGAAGAATCAGGATAGAATCAGGAACTGGAACCAGTAAATTCCAGTTCAGAAAATGTTATTGCTCATGTTTATACACCCAAGAATCTGGGGTCAGGGTCAGCACTAAATTGGTGCTTGATAAGAGTCAACAGAATTCGAGATAGGCTGCACTGACTTGGAGCATTTGTGGCCAAGTAACGATTCTAAGCTAAGTCCTCTCTTGACGCCACCCCCAGTCCCTGCCTTTTCTTCTCCTACAGGAAGCCATCCAATTATTAACAGATATGAGCCACTCTGATTGCCTTCTTTTGGCTTCATCCCCATTGCTCTCTGTTTGAAACATTCCTTTATTTTTAAATGGTGAATCATACCGACACACTCGTAAATCAACATCTGACAATTCAGTGGACTGTTAATAAAAAGAGGAGAGTGGGGAGGGGAGGAAGCCTCCCCATGAAAATCAGACACAAATCTTTAGGAAAGTTAGAAAAGAGGTGATTTATTCTAATTTAGTGAGTGGTTGGAATCTGGATGATTTTTCAATAGATAGGCAGGATACCTGGATCTCTGCTATATGGAAGTTGGGGGTGGGAATCATGTCAAATCCCACACAGAGAGGCATGGCATAATCCAATAGGCAGATTTATCTGTGTTAAGAGCTTAAAGGAAACTTGATACTTATTCCTTGCAGATAGATTCTATATATTCCTTCCTACTGCCCCTGAGCCTCAGGGCCTCAATATTTCATAAAGCTAACACATCTAAAGTACAAAGGTCCATGAGGTCAATTTTGAGGAGAGAACTTGAACCCCCATAGACCAGTGTTTTCTAACCTTGGCAACTTTAAGATGTGTGGACTTCAACTCCTTGAGATGTTTTTCAACATTGGCTATTGTAAGATGGGTGGACTTCAACTCCTTGAGATGTTTCTC